TGTCGCTCATTCTGGAGCACATGCTTAGACTCAGATCATGCTCTAGTGCGAGCGCGTATTTGTCTACGTCTTACTGGACGTAGGAAACATGCTGCAAGGAAACCCCTTAGGGTCCTACTAAATGATAGTCAAGCTAAGAGTATATTTCAGGAACATCTAGAAAAACAGTTAGACAGCCATGTAAGTGACGCCCACCCCGAGGCAGCGTGGAATGAAATCCGGAAAGCTGTAGAAACAGCAGTGATGTCTGCAAGTACGGTAAACCATAAGGTTAGGGAGAAACACTGGATCTCAGCAGCATCTACCGCACTGATAGATGCTCGAAAACTCATTCCATCTGGCTGTGAACATAACGAAGAGCGGAGTCAGCTTAAGCGTAAGCTGACTAGAAGCCTACGCAATGATCGTGAACAGTGGTGGGTAGCGAAAGCAAGAGAGATGGAAAAGGCAGCGGCAATAGGTAACAGCAGGCAACTGTTCAGACTTGTTAAGGAAACCGGGATTAGAAACCCAACTGTTAGCGAAACAATCGCAGAAAAAGATGGACATATTATTCATTCTCAATCCAGGAGATTGGACCGATGGCAGAACGCTTTAGGGATCAGTTCAACTGGCCTTCAGCCACACTTCGGTTTCCCACGATCTCCAATCTACCTGAATGGCAAGCTAATGTAAGTCCTCCGACTCTTTACGAAGTTGAAAAAGCTATAGGAAATCTGAAGCGTGGGAGAGCAGCAGGCCCTGACAGGTTTACTCCTGAGATTTTTAAGGATGGCGGTCCAGTAATAGCAGCGAGACTGACTGAGGTCTTAGGTCAAATCTGGGAACTGGACGTAATCCCATCTGACTGGTCTCAATCACTGATTGTACCAGTCTATAAGAAAGGACAAAAGTCCTCCTGTGACAATCACAGAGGAATTAGTTTGACTAATATAGTGTCTAAAATATCAGCTTCAATAATGCTTCGACGTCTAACCAAAGCTCGTGAAGAGAAGACTAGAGAAAACCAGGCTGGTTTTCGACCTGGACGTGGTTGTATTGATCAAATACTCACATTACGTCAGGTCCTAGAACATAGACACACATTCAGACGCCCCACAATGGTAGTATTTCTCGACCTTAAGGCGGAATTTGACTCTGTTAATCGTGAGGTTCTATGTCAGTGTTTGTCACTGAAGGGAGTACCAGAGAAGTACATCAACCTTATAAAGGCTCTCTACTCGAACACAACTGGTCAAGTGAGAGCATATGCTGAACTGTCATCAGAATTGATTACCTCAAGTGCGTTCGTCAGGGCTGTCCACTCTCTCCATTCTTGTTTAACTTTGTCGTTGACGTCCTTTTAGAGATGACACTTTCCTCATCTAAATTTCCAAGAGTTGAACTTCTACCGGGAGATCCACTTGTTGACTTAGAATATGCCAATGACATAGTTCTATTTAGTGAAGACGCTGACAGAATGCAGAGTCTGCTGACCACTCTAAGCAACAATGCAAGCATGTTCGGCATGCGATTTTCTCCCTCGAAATGCAAAATGTTGCTTCAGGATTGGGTTGCGTCGACACCCGAACTAGTGATAGGGAGTGAAGTAGTTGAGCGTGTCGACCGCTTCACTTATCTCGGAAGTCTCATCAGCCCTTGTGGTTTGGTGTGTGACGAAATCTCAGCACGGATACAAAAGGCTCGACTAGCTTTTGCCAACTTGCGTCATTTGTAGCGTAGGCGAGATATCCGTCTATCAACCAAAGGACGTGTTTACTGCTCAGCAGTTCGTTCCGTCCTACTTTATGGCAGTGAAACATGGCCAGTAAGACCAGAGGATATTCGTAGGTTACTAGTATTTGACCATAGGTGTCTTCGAAACATCGCTCGTATATCCTGGGACCACCGAGTAAGCAACTCAGTTGTTATGAAACGGGTACTAGGTAAGGATGGCAAATCAATTGATGAAGTAGTGAAACTTAATCAGTTGAGATGGCTGGGACATGAGCTGCGCATGCCCGACCACCGACTGCCCCGACGTGCTATGTTTTATGGTGTAGGAGTAGGTTGGAAGAAAGCTAGGGGCGGCCAGACCAAAACATGGCACAAATCCATCAAGTCACTGACATGTGGACTGAGTCATGTTGGTAGGTGTAGACTACCTGGTTGGGGACCGCGAGATGATAGCAACCGATGGTTAGAGACCTTGAATAACATGGCTCAAAATCGTTTGCAATGGCGCAGGTGCATCCACTCTTTGTGTTCTCTCAAACTCTAATCTTCTGAATTCTTCATGTCCTTTATTTTCTTTCCCAATTTATTCCACTGGACTATACTCCTTTAATAACATCATCGAACCTTCATGTCCCCTATCTCTACTTATACTTTCAGTACCTCTACCACTATGGGATTTGAATCGATAACTGAATCTCTGTGCTAATGTGGTATGGCAACTCGAACTGATGTACGTACGTACGAAGTTCCACGTTGTTACTGACTGACTGACTGACTGATATAACTAGACAACTTATTGTGTGGCTAAAGTAACAACCGGTAAAATATCCCGTCTAAGTTCTTGACATATTTGTAGCTATTTTAAAACATTAGATTGCAGTAATCGTTTTCCCAATACGCTTATTTTAGCTGGATTGAGTTCAATAATTACGAAATGTTTCTGTTACAGTAAAATGTACTTTAGACATCATTAGGTCAATGGAAAAGACCACCTCTTTCACCAGACTAACAACGCAGTTAACAGATATGGACGAAAACCAATATTTTAGCATATCGAACCCAGATTAACTGAACAGAGAACTAAGGCAACTAAACGGGGTTGCTAAGAAAACTATGAATGTAAATTTCGTCCATTTAAAAGACGAGTCTCACTTTTACGACAAATGTAATAGGAAAATAAAACAGAATCCCTGATGATTTCTATTCTTAGCCACATTTTATAACATGAGAAAATAGTGGACAGCATAATCTCCAACTGACCGTCCTAAGAATTATGATGGACAGATGGTTGTCGATCTTTCACTTCACAGCGATATGTCATGAACGAATGTTGGGGACGATAGATCCCCGGAAACAGTTTGTCATTTTATCTTGTGGAGCTTGTATGCAGATGTATACGTGGGTATTTCTTACCACCCACGCACATAGTCGATTGACCAATTTATCGACTAAATGTTTAAATATTTTAATGGGTCAATTGACGAACTATCGACTAAATGTTTAAAAGCTTCATGGCAATATCGATATATATATATATATATATATATATATATACGTTTTAAAATTGTCTTTGTAAAAAATTGCTGGTTTTCTGTTTGTTGCAGAATATACTTCCATTCTAAGCTTGGTCTTCTCTCTCTAGATAGCGGGGCTGGGACGCGTCAATAGTTAGCTTACTGGCCTTGGTCATCGAATCTCGTTCTCGTTCGTAGACTAAGTGAACTAGCGATAGATTCAACCCCAACAACGAACAAAGTCTTACTTTTATGTATCTAGTCAAAGTCATGGAAGATGGGGTCCCAAGAGAGCAGGATTAAATAATTTTTCATCAATATCCCCGGATACATTGTTGATTGGCCTTACTTGCTACACCATAAGAATTTTTACAGCTAATCAGATACATAAATTCCCGGACTATTCTCAGCAGTCCACCATAAAGAGCTAGTGCAAAAGCAAAATTATACTGGTTCTGTAGGAGTACTCTGCATTTAGGTGTAAAATGCATGCAGAGAGGTGGTCAGTATATGACATGGTGTCGTGGTATGAAAGAAAGCTGCAAAGGGCTAGCTTCTGTTGGTCCTTCACGACTCCCTGGTTGGGGTCCGAGAGACGGTGTAACGCAGTGGCTAGAGACGTTATCAGATATGGCTCAGAATAGAAGCCAGTGGCGATCCTGCTGTAACCTTCTTTTACTTTCTTCATAAAAAGTGGTTGTATCTTCCTTAACTGAAAGATCTCTTCTGATTGTACCTTTCCGTTTCCCCCACCATTGTTCTCTCTCTCTCCCTTTTTTTATAATTCCCCACGTTCATTACTTTTTTTCTCTTTTCTCCTTTTCTTCAAATTATCATTGTTTTGTGTGGCGCATATATATTTGGTGCCCCCCTGTACCAATATTTATGTGTTCAAATAAATAAATGCCATAATAACGAGCATTGATTGCCTGTACATCGTTACACAGTAAAACGATGCTATTCACACATCAATGGTTGGGGAATTTTTTTGAGTAACGAACTGCCACTGTATACTTACTTGAGAACGGTTGCCAGAATATTAAAGAGGAACTGTGAGATAGAGCAAACCTGGTTGACTGAGCTGTTGAAATGGAACAATGGACAGAAGTCATTGTATTCCTCACTGTACGAGGTATTTATGTAGGGGATGTGCATGAATATTTCAGAAACACCATTTTCTGATGGTCAGACACAAAGGAAGGTCCTATTTAACGAAATTAAGACAGCCTTGGTATCAAGAAATATAAAAACTATCAGCCGGTGTTTCAGAAAATAGCGGAATATAAAAAAGTGAAAAATATATGCACGACTCAAACAAAGATCCGGTAGCTCTTTGCGAGCATAATTTTTACAATCTGCAGTGCATGATGAGGGTCAATATTTTTGTTGGTTTTGTTAAGCACCTGGACGTAAATATCAAATTGCTTAGACCCTATAAATGAATCAGAAATCGAAATCCGGAATCTACAAAACAACCCTTAAAATAGTTTAAATATCATTCATAATACGGCGTATTATTCTTAGTAAGCGTTATAGGTTGTCAACAGGATGTTCGCATGTCTTTTGATAGACTGCCTCCTAGTAATGCTGATTTGGCGTGACGCTGACAATATGCATTTCATGATCATTTCAAATTACACAGTTTAAGTATTTGATTTTCAACAAACTACTAACAAAATATCTTTGACGAAATTACGAAAACTAGAGGGTCTGAGAACTTATACATGTGCATACGTAACCAATGACAAACGTTAAGCAAGAACAAAATCATTATGCTATGTCGATCTTATATTTTTCAAGACATCACAAATTAGTTGAGTATCACTAAAACAAATGTCTTCTTTGAAATCAGTACTAACAAGTATTGTTTTTGAAGTATCCAAAATTCTAGTTATCAGCCTGGTGATAAGACAAGTATTCAACTGTAAAGGAGAATAAGATAGAATTGTTAGGTAGCTTACAAACAATTAAATGTCAAAGGACAATTGATGCATTGCACAAAAATAGATTGTATATCGGTGAGCAAAACTGAAATGAGGCATACATGAAATCCGTAATTTATCAAAATTTTCGGCTTTATACAGTTGAAAGTAGGTACAATGAAAAGCAAGCATAATTTTGAGCTAGTGTGTAACAAGTGTAATTTTATTTGACCCACATTATTTTCACATGAACTTACATTGAAAGCAAGTAACAGTTTTATCTACAGACGTTAGATTGCTTTTTGAAACCATAAAATATTCACTAAAGCAACAACCCAGTACATTTATATATAGTGAGGTTTCTGAAACTAAAATTCCGACTGAAATACACATCTGTATCCAATCGTTTTACTCGTCCAATTATAAATTGTATTAAATCATAAGATGATAGAGATGAAAAGAGATATGACAAGGTCAATCTTAGCAAGGAAATCCCGATGTTTATTTGATTGATTTGTTTTTTCAATTGTGTCTATTTTGGAAGCGTATTAGCTCCTAGCTTTTTAAAGATATGAGCAAAACATGTGATGAAGTGTACTACAATATAGTACCAGACGCTTTAAACTCTTTACGAAATAAACACTAGTGTACAAATAACTTGAAGGCTCACTTTGTCAGGACCGAACAGAGTCCGAGTATCAAGATCATGAGAAACATGACCATTTACTGTCGGTAGATTGCTTTTCTGGGACAACACCTGAAAAAATATTTTATCAAATACGTGATTTACAATATCCCCAATCATTCCGTTGCGTGAAATGAGTACCATTAAGTGATCAGAAAACTCTATCTGGACAACAGTGACAGTAAATCCAGCGACAGGAAGCTCTAAAGTAGACTAAAAAACTTTAATGAATATGAACGCAATTACCTTGAACACAGCAGGTAAATCCATTTACAGTAGAACTTAAGAAGGACAGAAGGGAAGTCTTGAGCAGTAGGAATAAAAGGACAGGTGGCCTATAACAATTCTTGGGGTTTACAGTGCCTTGAAGATCCAATCACTAGTGCATATTAATTCTGCCTAAACGAACTGAACCTACATGGACGAAAAAATTTACGGACTATGGTACACAATAAATGGTATTATAAGTCATAATTCTAGATGAAGGTAAGGTAAACTAACTCACTGCATTTCGAAAATGTATACGCTACCGCAGAGTTGAGTAATAGAAAAATTACAAAGAAAAGACCAGACGTTGTAACAGAAAGCGCACAACATAAAGTTTAACTCATGACTCCTGAAGACCATATTAGAGGACTTTAATTACATTTATAGAAAAGCTACATTATTGCACGGCGAGCTAAATGGCGACAGGAATCCCTGCATTTAGAAATTTGTTGTGCTTAAAATTATAGTGGATATAATCTCGTGGTGAAAACCTTAATAAACTTAAGTTCCAGTATTCATGTCAATTCGATTTGTTTGCCGTGGTCTTACCAATCTTTACTATTAATCTGAAAAGGTCATTCATATTCTCTACTACCATAAAATAAGAGAATAAGTAAAATGACTTAGCAAGCACATAGAATGGTTTCATATTTAAATGCATCACATGAGTATTACACAAAACATGTGTAACGCAACATTTCAAGAGTTTTACACTAAAATTATGTTCAGATAGTTTCAAATGGTCCCGGACGGAATAGAAAATGCTTCCGCTTAATGGGCTTCCGTATTTATTAGGAGTGGTCATGTAAAAACCCTAGTATATTAAACGATAAAACAGAAAAATGTTTGTAGTTATAGTGAGATACTCTCATTAGTCCTTGGTTATATGTCAAGTTTTATCTCGAATGACTCCTGAAAAGTCGCTTGAACAAACTCGACTGGCAGAGAACTTCAGCACTTGACTAATCTTAAGGAGCAGAAGGTGCCTACAGTACCTTCTGCTATGTTATTTCCAGTTTCTATGTGGAACCCCTAAGATTTGTGTTGAGACTGAGCTTAAGTAGGTACTCAGAAGAATTCTCAGGAGTGTTAAGGATGCCGAAAGTCGTTAGAAGTTCATCTCTGATACGCTTGTACTTTAGTGAGTAAAGATCCAGTGATTTGAGGTGCTCTTCATGACGTTTGAATTTGAGTTATCAGACTGATTTCGTGGCTCGTTATTGGATACGTTTCAAATTATTCTTACCCTTTGAAGTGAGGGAGGAAGCCCTATATTTTTATACTCTAAATTGGTTCTTATAAAACCATTGAAGTTTCAGTGGAATATTGTTCTGTCAAACTAACCGAAATGTGCTTCAATGTTACCAATGCAAGATTTGCTTGAGAGGTGTTTTTCTTGCGGTTAGCTTAAGACTTCTGATCGTAGAGTACAAACACATTCAGATTTTTATCCAACGTGGAATACCCATAGAGGTGAATCACCTTACTTGTATTCGCAGTCTGAAACATGTCTCAGATGGACTACTTTACACTCTGAAGTGTTAAGTGTAAGTCCGTTTTTGTTCTCCTAACTTTGAAGTCGAGTCAGATACTCATTATTTTATCTACAAACTTCTCTCCAGAGTTTCACGTCATCAGCGAAAAGTAATAAATCAGACGATATCTATTATGGAAGATCGTAAATATAAATTAGGAGAAGGCGTCCTCGTACTGAACCCTGAGGGACTCCACTAAGACATACTGTAGTCTGAGGAAAAATGAAGTTTATCCTGACTCTAAACAGTCGATTTTTTAGGTATGAACTATGCCAATCTGTTAAAAGTGACAAGATGCCTAATATTTTGAGCTTAATGATGAGAAATATATGATTCACTCTACCAGAAGCTTTTGAGATTTCAATGTATCTGACATTAACCTTCCTTTTAAGATCAAGGATGTTTGTTCATCACTTCACCACGATTATCAGGTTGGTTATGCAAAGATGACCTCATTGAAACCATTTCGTTGGGGTGAAAATATTTTTATGGATGGTCAGTAGTCACGTAGACCATCGTATATCAGAGACTCCATAACTTTTGAGGTAATAGAGAGAAGTGTTGCCGGCCTGTAGCTTGAAGGTTCACTGCGTCAAAAACCCTTGAAAATTGATGTAACGTGGGTCAGCTCCTGAAAATTCTGGTAAGGTGCCTCGGCTTAGTGAAAATAAAAACACCTCGCTGGGTGGATTTATGAAGATTAAAGCCGTTTCCCTCAGCATGGCAGAATGGACCATATCCGAGCCAGGATAAGTGTTCTTCTCTAAGTGCTAATGTTTGTAATACACCAAATCACTTCTAAGACTCTTGATGAATTGCGGGTGAAGGCTGAAATGTTTGAAAGTTTTGTTCTACCAGGAGATCGGCGGCATCATTGTCGTTGTTGGTTGGGTCGTTAGGACCTAACAACTGGGGAAATCCGGTTTAGGCTTTTTGGAGAGAGGTGCACGGTGGAGAAAATTTATCAATCAGATTTGTGTGATAGTGAAGCTTATCTTCTATTAATATTCTTGTACATTGTTTCTTTGCTCGTTTGAACTCCATATATATGCCGTCGTCACTAGTTCATTTATATCCTACACAGTATTGTTCTTCACATCATAGCATTCGAAGAGTATGATTCTTTGTAACTGTAGGCTGCTTTTTATTTTTGAGTACCGTCTGCAGGACAGACTGTTTTATAGCTTATAAGGTCATATACAGTAAGAAATCCCAATGAGCATCCCCATCGAGTTGAGGGTGTATTTCCCAGTCCACTTGCTGCAGACCTGTAAGACTGACGCATCCAACCGTTTGGAATTCCAGGGCCTGTTGACGATAGGATGTCTTAGCTCAGTTTTGCCGGTAAAACTGAAGGCTATGACGGTGTAGTGACTTACTTTTATGAAGAGAATGCGGTCGGTATAATGGAAACAATTATTGTTATAATCAATTATACCAGTGTTTGCTTTACTGTACCTGTTTCTTTAACTGTACTAAAACCTTACCCTCTTCCGTTAATTGTGACCTCGCACGCGTTCACTTACGCTACGTAGTTCCGCTTGTACTCTTTTGCACGATCTCGGTATCGTCTCAATACCACGAGATTACCAACAAATATATTCTATTACGACAGTCAATTGCCTTTTGGTTTTTGGTCTACGAAGGTATCAAACCCAATATCTGGTATGTAATCTTCCTGTAGTGATGTTCATAGTCAATCGCAACTTGATGCCTACTACAATGGTGTGATAATTTTCCCAGGAGAGCCAGGATTATCAGGTTGTCACTAAGGAGTTCTTCGTTTGTAAATATGCAGTTTGAGTGTGACGCATCTGACAATATCTCTACCAAGTTGCATACTTCATATTTTTAGATAATCTCAACCGAGCTTCAGTAGAGTTTCCAACCCCAATGTACATATGTCCAGAGAAATTGACTTTAGGGAGTTTGGACTTTCATAGAATTAGGATACGAGTGGGTCCGAAACGAGTATAGCGGAATAACGCCTCCATCATATGATTTTCGGACTCGTGACAGCAGTGGGCTTGTAGTGGCATTGAGCCCTACCACGAGACAATATGAGAAATATGCATTAAACATTTAACGCAGAGAAATACAGAAGAATGGAGAAGGCGGGAATAATAAATTGAATTAGTCCGAGTTGATCGGATGGCATGGCTCGGCCTTGCAGACGTGGTTCCATCCGAATGTTATCTTGTGTCTTCTATTCATATTAAATATATTCTATCTCTAGCCTAAGCTCGTTCTCTATCACGTATTGGTAATTGTTACAATGCAATGAATCGGTGTAGACGATGATGTAACTTCCACGTAAGATCTTATAGATTAGGCATGATAAATCTACAATTTTAGGATTAGGTCTATTATTAGAGCAGTGCTAATATCATAGTAGACCATAATTCTACATTGGTGAGCCCTTCCAAAAGAACGCAACCTATTATTATTATTCCTTATTTCCACTTTAATTTTCTCGATCGATATTTGCTTATGTAAACCCATTATTCTAATAGTCCTCTGATTAATGATCATGTGTATTATCGTAATGTTATGTTGATTAGTTCTCATAACTTACTAGCTCAATCAATAATAAAAACTAGTCATCTACATTAACTAATTAGGTTTTGATGGTTCGTTAACAAGCTTTAGTAGCATTTACATGCTTCAGCGAAATAAACTTGTTTTAACATCAAGCTCTAGCAAATATGACCTGCAAATAGCCTCAATATACATTGTCTATCCATGCAATCAAGGACTAAATAGTTATCTGGATCTAATTCTTAGTGTTCCTTCACTTAACACATTCTGTTTTTAAACTATACACTATCCTTCAATGACTTTTCTTCCGACCACTGCCTGCCTAATTTCCAATTCTCGAATTCCATTGCCAAACAACAAGGATGAAACTACTACAAAAACATACGGTGAGTTTTAGCTATAAGTTTTCTGCAATCATAAGCTTATTTTAGATGGCTCGTTCAATGGCAACCACTTAATTTTCTGGATTCATTCAATTGTTCTGATCCGAGCAAGTGACAAAAACCTCAGCGGCACCAAACACCCTGGAATTAATTACCATACTGCATGTTTTATTCTGGATGCTTTTGGATCATTACTTCTCACGAATGGCGTTACATATGTCGTCTATTTAATATTCCAATTTTCAAAAATAATCCAGGCGAGTTTAACTATTTTACTGGATGTTTTTTTTGTACTTGATATGTATATATTTTCCAGTTGTTTTTGCTACATATTTGTAAGTGCAACTATGCTAAATACAGGAACCTCTTATGGGAAGTTTATAACTCATCATAATCCTGCCTGAAGTTTCATAAGCAGTCTTAACTTTAAAATTATTTTTCTGACAATGTTTGTCATATACATCAATAACCTGCATGTTAAACTATCCTGTAAATGCGTTGCATTATATCTCCATGCCTTTTGAATTCGAAAGTCATTTGAATCGCCTTTCGCATTTCTCACCAAACCCATCATAGTCATTCTTGCTATACGTATTTGGGTTTGTAAATCGGTCTACCATATTAGTAACATAAAAAGACAAACATAGTTTAGATAATAAAGTTACAAATTCAAGTACTAGCATACTGCCTTAGTATGATAGCTAAACTATCAGATGGTTGTTGGCTAAACAAACATTTAAAATTTAAACTCCGGAACCTATTACTAAAATTAACACTAAATGTATATTCTTGAATTGAAATTTATATAATTAGGCGGCTCGGTTTCTTTAACGCTACAAATTTCTGATAATTTCAAATCACCTGAAGCAACAATACCTATTTTTTCCACCGGCTGATCCTCAATCAACACTATAATTAGTTAGACATAATGGCTTCAGGATATCGTCATAAAGCATTGTCATGACTTGCCAATCACATAATATGAATGATAAAGTTGACGAAAGTATTGACAAATCGGTCAGCAAATTGACTTATAATTATCATTAAGTAGTGTTGTTTTTCTTTTCATTCACTACGGATGATTACAGTATGTTTATCAGTTGCTCAGTAAATATCTCAAAACCTTGTCAGTCTAATTGGAGGTTTAGCAACACAATCATGCATGCAAACAATCAGTATAAGCAGTTGAGCAAATCTCCTGCAGACTGAAAACATCAATGTCGAATTTACCCCAACACTGACTAAGGTTCAACCCATTATCATAGAAATGAGTTGGGAGTGTACTCCCCTTGGTTACACCTTATGTTCTCCCT